CTTGATTTTCTCAGCTCAAAACATTATAAAGTTTACATAATTCCACCAACAATTCTCACTGGATTCTATTTACCTAAATTCATAAGTATCACCTAAATTGAAGACCTAAAAAAAAAGAATTATTTACACAAAATACTTTTTATGTTTAATTCCTAGAATAACTAGACAAAGAAACCCTGACTCATAAATCTAATTGCATTATCAGAATCATTCAAAGTGACTTACTACAGAAACAACTTCCTTAAGTCATTCAAGGAAATGATGATATAAAATGATATGAAAACTTGAAGGCAACCATCGGCTTTATATTTATAGATGGAATTTGTTGATTACTGAACAAAAGAATACTCAATGACATAACCCAAAAGGAAAAATAAAATTGCTTAGTTTCATAAGTTCAGTTTATATGATGTATCAGTTTATATGCCAAAGTGAAATTTAAGGTAATTTCATAAGGTAAAGTATAATTAGTATGAGAAATTTACAGATTGCTATATTTAAAACTGTGAGTTTTTTTCCTTTAAATTTTTCTGTTACCAAATTTGTCACAGTACAAAGATATTATATCTCTTAGATTTAGGTTACTACTTTTTAATTCTTATTTTGACTTTGAACATAGACATTATAGGAAGAAATACAAGAAAGTCTTATGATTTTTCTTATCAATATTGTTTACTTTTAAAGTTAGTCACATTCTATTTGAGGGAGTTTAACATTCCCAAATATTGCAATTCTAGGAGGAATGAAAACACGGGTATTTAAAGAATGCCTTCTTTGGAATGAGAAAGTATATATAAAATTTTAGCTTCATTAATGGTGTATAATTAAGTCTCAGTAATGTTAGTCATAAGGGTTGTGTCATATGCATATCTGAGATTATTGATATTTCTCCCAGCAATCTTGATTCCAGCTTGTGCTTCCTACAGCCCAGCATTTCTCATGATGTACTCTGCATATAAGTTAAATAAGCAGGATGACAATATACAGCCTTGACAAACTCCTTTTCCTATTTGGAACCAGTCTGTTGTTCCATGTCCAGTTCTAACTGTTGCTTCCTGACCTGCATACAGGTTTGTCAAGAGGCAGGTCAGGTGGTCTGGTATTCCCATCTTTCAGAGTTTTCCACGGTTTATTGTGATCCACACTGTTGAAGGCTCTGGCGTAGTCAATAAAGCAGAAGAAGATATTTTCTGGAACTCTCTTGCTTTTTCGATGATCAAACGGATGTTGGCAATATGATCTCTGGTTCCTCTTCCTTTTCTAAAAGCAGCTTGAACATCTGGAAGTTCACGGTTCATGTATTGCTAAAGCCTGGCTTGGAGAATTTTAAGCATCACTTTACTAGCATGTGAGATGAGTGCAATTGTGTAGTAGTTTGAGCATTCTTTGGCATTACCTTTCTTTGGGATTGGGATGAAAACTGACCTTTTCTAGTCCTGTCACCACTGGTGAGTTTTCCAAATTTGCTGACATATTGAGTGCAGCACTTTCACAGTGTCATCTTTCAGGATTTGAAATAGCTCAGCTGGAATTCCATCACCTCCACTAGCTTTGTTCGTAGTGATGCTTCCTAAGGCCCACTTGACTTCACATTCCAGGATGTCTGGCTCTAAGTGAGTGATCACACCATCGTGATTATCTGGGCCGTGAAGATCTTTTTCGTACAGTTCTTCTATGTATTCTTGCCACCTCTTCTTAATATCTACTGCTTCTGTTAGGTCCATACCATTTCTGACCCTTATTGAGCCTGTCTATCTTTACATGAAATGTCCCCTTGATATCTCTAATTTTTTTTGAAGAGATCTCTAGTCTTTCCCATTCTATTGTTTTCCTCAATTTCTTTGCATTGATATCTGAGGAAGGCTTTCTTATCTCTCCTTGCTATTCTTTGGAATACTGCTTTCAAATGGGTATAATTTGCCTTTTCTCCTTTGTCTTTCACTTTTCTTCTTTTCACAGATATTTGTAAGGCCTCCTCAGAGAGCCATTTTGATTTCTTGCATTTCATTTTTGGGGGATGGTCTTGCTCTCTGTCTCCTGTACAATGTCACAAACCTCCGTCCATAGTTCATCAGGCACTCTGTCTATCAGATCTAGTCCCTGAAATCTATTTCTCACTTCCACTGTATAATCATAAGTGATTTGATTTAGGTCATATCTGAATGGTCTAGTGGTTTTCCCTACTTTCTTCAATTTAAGTCTGAATTTGGGCATAAGGAGCTCATGATCTGTGGCACAGTCAGCTCCCAGTCTTGTTTTTGCTGACTGTATAGAGCTTTTCCCTCTCTGGCTGCAAAGAATATAATCAATCTGATTTCGGTGTTGGCCATCTGGTGATGTCCATGTGTAGAGTCTTCTCTTGTCTTGTTGGAAGAGGGTGTTTGCTATGACTGGTGCGTTCTCTTGGCAAAACTCTATTAGCCTTTGCCCTGCTTCATTCTGTACTCCAAGGGCAAATTTGCCTGTTACTCTATGTGTTTCTTGACTTCCTACCTTTGCATTCCAGTCCCCTATAATGACAAGGATATCTTTTTTGGGTGTTCTAAAAGGTCTTGACCAAGAATCAAACCCATGTGTCTTGCATCACAAGTTGGATTCTTCCTTGGATCACTAAGGAAGTCTCTGCAGTGACTTCTTAACTTCCTGGCACCCAATCCTCCAGTATATCTTCTGCATTATTTGTTTGGTTGTATGCCAAAAAATAACTCCAATATTACAGTATTTTTATTTGCCCTCTAGTGCATAGAGTAATGATCTCCACATGGAGGTATCCCTAAAGTGGACACAGAACAATGTACATGACTTTAGGATCAGAACATCAGATGTGTTCTTCTATGCATAGTGCTATCCTGAGAAAATGTCTGTTAAATGGAAGAATGTAAGAATTCTCCTCTCAAAACATGTAATCCAAATGTACAGTACTCATAATACATTCTTATTTTATATATTCTCCAAGTTTTTACTGCAAATATATGTTGCAAAAAGTACAGCATTTAAATTGCAATCTGTTGTGTACTTTCTGCTATAGTGCTCTGAATAAAGATCTGAAATGCCTTGAGTGCTGAATGCCAGAGATGATTGAAATCCCTCTGAGCCATAAATTTAAAATGTGTTCTCTGTGATGGTGAAGATTTTGCGTTATGCAAAAGATATAATTGGGTACTCTATCCTGAAAGAAAGACAGGATAAATATTACAGAATTCCCTATACCTAATCCCTCTCCTTTTAAAAGTAGAAATAAACTGCATCAGAGTACATTAAAGTAGAAAATAAAATATAAAATGATACAAGTCAACATCTATTTTGTTTTCTTTCTGATTCAAGTAGCCCCTAATTTAAACATACAGACTAGCAGATGAATTTTTGTTGTTATTGTTAAATCCAGTCTAGCACCTCACTAAATTAATAAGAATTTCAGTCTGTTCAGTGAGGAATTGTGTCCTTTTAAAATTTCAGAGTCTGCCAAGCCTCAGAGACTCTGACCTTCTGCTCCCTCTACCAAATCAAGGCAGAGTCATTTGTTGGTAGAGTTTTCCAAGCAGAGTATGCCAGAGATGAGTAGACACTGCAATGCTCCTTAAAACCTCTAATTTTGGGGGCACTGAGTAAGCGAACAGTTTCTCAAACATTTCCCAAGCAAACTAGAAATATACAAATATTTTAAGAATTTTACTTACTCTTTAAAAATTTTTAATGGGGAGGAGGAAGCATATTTTATAAAGATAAGTCATTTTTAACCTAGGAATTATAACTTAATAGGTAGTCTAATCCTCAAGAATTGATTTGTCTGATTTAATTACTACATATAATCACCTATAAGTAGAGTCCTCAAAAACATATCTTGGCTAAGAGGAAATAAATCAGATGCAAGCGTTAACTCATCCTAGTCACTGGTACAGCAGTCGGCAAGAGTAATAACAAATGCTAGGATGAGCATGTAGGTATCAACTGGAAATGGGGAAGCAGGCAAATGAAAGAGCAAGAGGCACAAGCTGAAGACTTTTTTTAACCTCATAATGTTGCCTAGAATCAGCTCAATTGCCAGGTAATAAAACTAAAGCTCTGTGGTGGTGTTGTTTTTCTGGATCAGAAATAATGTTTAAAACATCCATTTCTAGAAATACTGCCAATCAAATGGAAAAATGGCTGACATGTTTGTTCCGTTGGCAGATGGTTTGGATGTTGATTTTTGTTAGTGTATGAGCTGTTTTGCTTGGGTGTCTACATACTCCTTTTTGTAGGTGACTAAAATCTCTGCACCTGCCTAATCTCATATTTAACATTCAACAGTTGGTGGTGCTGGCAGGGATATCACTGAGAGATAAAATGTCATTTTAGGTGAACTATTATCAAAAAGCACACAAATGGCAACTTAGATTAATTCAAACTTAAATTCAGGGTTCTGATTTTGGTTTTTGAGCCTGCTAAGACACTTAATCTGATACTCAGTACTTAGCTTCATAAAGACATCATGTCTTTATGTAACATGAATATATAATCAGATTAAGCATATAAGAAGCAACTGGCATTTACCATATTTTGATTATTATAAACTGCAAATGCAGAACCACTGTCCCTAAAATTTTGGGAGCTTTTCTCTCGTCATATTAATCTTTCTAACATAATAAGCTTTTCTGTATATTTAGTTTCTAAATCGGATCATAATTGGGCTACAAATTGTGTTAAGATCATATATTTAGAGGTTTGATTTCAAAGAAGCAAGCAAACATGCCTTGCAAAAATATCATATTGGTTATAGCATGTCTCCATGCATATGACAGACTATTGATTAAAATGTGATAGCCAATTTTTTAATTAAAGGAGGAATAAAAAGTCACCAGTTAAAGGTCAATATGATTTTAATACAGACTTACACTGTATACTTTTAAATGTGTAATACTTACTCAGAAACTGTAACATCTCTTTATGCTTTTAATTTTTTTGTCTTACCAGAGAGTATTCTTTATTGTAATTATAGCATGTATTTCAGCTTTTAATACCTGCTATGTTCTGGGCACTGTTCTGAGGGCTGGAGATGTAACAGTCAAAAAGAAAATGTTGTTTGGTAAAGTTTAGCCTAAACATGAAGTTTAAAAAAACATGTATAGTTTCTGAATTGTGGTTTTCTCAAGGGATATGCCCAGCAGTGGGATTGCTGGAGCATATGGTACTTACTATTTTTAGTTTTTTAAGGAACCTCAGTACTGTCCTCCATGGTGGCTGTGGCAGTTCAGAGACTCACTGGTACAGAACAGACATGTGGGCGAGGACAGGATGGGCCAGGTGGAGGATGCCGGGGGTGGGTGGGAGGTGCTGGGAGACTGGGACTGACCGACGTTCCCTGGCATGTGTAAGACAGCCAGTGGAACCAGCTGTGTAGTGCACGGAGCTCAGCTCGGTGCCCTGTGCTGACCTGGGAAGGGTGGGTTGGTGGGGAGGTCCAAGAGGGAGCGGGTAATGTGTACCTATGGCTGGTGCACTTCAGTCTCCAGCAGAAGCTCATGCAACGGTGTAAAGCAACCGTGCCCCAGTTAAAACAAGCCACCCTGTATGCTGTGGGAGAGCAGCCGTCCTTCCCCACGGCTGGTTCTGGAGTGTCAGCTCTGCCACCACACTGAAGAGGGAAGATGTCTCAACACACTGAGCTCCGTTTTTTTAAGAATTTTATTTTTAAATATATTTTTTAAATTATTGTGATGAATGAAATTTACTTTTATGATTCTAAAATTCCACATTGGTCCATTAGTTAATTACTGTCAAAGTAGAGGTGCTAATCAGCCCCACTAAAAACAACCTTATTATTTTTGTTAGGTAAAAAGGCAGCACTTATTTGACTTTAGACTCAAATTTTAGACTAATTTTGACTCATCTATTTACCTCTATATATGATTTGCCATCAATTTATTTCATAGGACATGCTCTGAAGTTACAAAGCTCAAGGTTAAATGGTCTGTAGAGGCTGAGCTGCGTTTCATAATTGCTCTGAGTATTTAAACACACAAAGTATACTTTTTTTTCTGGCTGAATTTATTGTGGCCAGATTAAAAGGGCCTTTTTATCTATGATTTAAAGCAGACTCCAAAGTGCCTCCTGAGGAAATTTGGGACCAACCCTTCCCAACAGGCATTTTCTAAGTAGAGATGGGGTAGCTATTATCCCAGCTCCTTCGAAAGCCCCTCCTCCTTCCTTAGAAATGCTGGTCTACTCCCAGGCCACAGAACAATCAAGTGTGCACCCCTGATCTTCATCAAATAGCACAAAGCATTTGCATTCCAAGCACTTGTTAGGGAATCCAACTTACAAATTCCTACTGCTCAGTAGCCATCAAAACTTTAAGAGAATAGTATCTGGAAAAATTCCTGAAGTGTAATTGAATCCACATAGAAGAACCATTGAAATCAACCCATGGGTTAAGGCTGACAAACAGAGAAATGCGCACCCAGACAACCAAACGTTGTCCCCCACAGAAATATTCTAGTCACTTATGCTTTCCCCTTGGCGCTGTACCCTGGGTCTGCACTGCAGGACTCAGTAATAAACAGTTCCATAAAACCACTTGGATGTAGTTACTGCAACAATTTCTTGAGGATACTGTTCACTGTGTCCCTTTTTATGAGCACTCAAAGGAGAAGTTTTTCTCTGGATTCAGTGCTAGAAATAATTGTGCTTCTTCTAGGCAACAGGTGAGCTGCTTTTTTATTGGCGCTGGGCAACATGTTTCCTCTGATGGCCTCTTTCCTTTGACTGCTTCAGAACTCAAGAGTCAGGTGTGTGACTGGCTGCAAGCAAGTTTAGATGCCTTTATGGCATTCTTGAATTCATGTTGTATTTTTTTCTTTTGCTTTCTTTCTCCCCCACTGCCATTTACTTTTTACTTCAATTTATCTAAATATATGAAAGCTGCCATAAATCCTTTTCTGGAAAAGATGTGATACATAAGGAAGATGAATAACATGAGGTAATAAACAGCATATATTTTTCATTTTCTCATGTGAGTCCCCTACTTGACTCATTGACTGAGAGACTCTGAGCTTTGGCACCAGGGCAGTTGTCATAAATAGACTGGAAAAACAAACAAACGAAAAACCCCTCATTCACAGCTTCTAATTATGAAAGGATTCATCAGATAAAATAATAATAATAATAATTGAGGCTGTGAAATGAACATAGAGAATGTTTTTCTTCCATTTATCACATGAAGAATTCTCAGAGTTGAGAGAGGCAAAATAGAAAAGAAAAAAAAAAAAAGCAAAATATTAGAGTAAGAGGTAGTGTAGGGGCCAGCTTGCACATCTCCTGCTGTGTCTGAAGAGCCAGTAGTCAGTGGCCTCACGAAAGTGAGGAAGAGGGCTTTATAGAGAAACAAGAGCAACCACTGACCCTTGAGTACTTGCAGCCCTCTGAAAGGTGTAGATAAGTAGCCAATTCTTCAGCAGCCAGGCCCAGGAATGCATGGCTGGTGATTCAGAGGCCGCACACTGAGGGACAATGTTGCGGCTGGGATTATTGCAACAGAACCAGCAGAGCAAAGGACAGAGGTGTCAACATCGAGAACCATAGCAGGCATTCTCTATCAGGAGAAGACCAGCGTGGCCGTCGGCTGAGTGAGGCAGGCTTGCTCCTGTCCAGGTGCCCTGCTGGTAGCAGTTAAGGCCCCTGGGGTTTAGTAATAGAAGCAGGATGAGAAGCAGCAAGAGGACCCTGAGAACGGTGAACCAAAACGAGACTGGGCTGAACTGAAGGTGAATCAAGTTTGTACTGGCAAAGGATGACTTATAAAGAACCTAGGTTGATTTGTCCTTTAAAAGGTTGGTACCTCAAGTATAAGGAAATTATAAAGGGTCGTATTTGAAAGTTACATTTTTGCATATTGTGACCAAAATATGAGTTTATTAAGTAAATAAATAATACTTATATATGAGTGTATATGTAACTTTGTAATCTAGAATCTCTTCATACCTCTCTTTGAGAATTTGTTCTTTCTGAAGTCAATAATCATACAATGTGGATATATCTAGATTATCATCCATTTCTTTTCTTAGGCTCCAAGGAGCAGTTGCTAAATACCAAACTACTTTTAGTTTATATGAGAACAACCCTCTCTTTGTTCTCCTCATGTTAGTTTGAATATTTTTTCCTGCATTTTTACTGCCAAAATTTGAATGTATGCCATTCAACTTTTTTTTTTGTTTTGTTTTGTTTCATTTATTTTTATTAGTTGGAGGCTAATTACTTTACAACATTGTAGTGGGTTTTCTCATACATTGACATGAATCAGCCATGGAGTTATATGTGGGAGGCGGGATTGGGATGGGGAATACATGTAACACCATTCAACTTTGAATGTATATTCTATCTGGATTTTCTCTTTCCCCTCTTTTATTTCCTACAATGGGAATTTCATTCTTCTCTCTAAGTTATCTCTCAAATAAAATCAGATACAAATCTTTATCCCCAACCATATCTCTTTTAAAACTCATATTGTGAACACCAAACTGCTACCTGGAATACAGGTATTCCTAGTATGACTAGTCATATTTCTCATTATAGCTTCAAACACAACATATTTAAACTGAAATTGTCAACTTTCCCTTAAGCCAGACACCATTGCCAGGTTAACCCTCCATTCTCTTGAACCCCTGCACAAAATACATATTGATTATGTGCTTTTTTTGGTCTCACTTGAGTCAAAGACTTTCTTTTTTATGTATTTATTTTTAATTGGAGGATAGTTAACAGTATTGTGGTGATTTTTGTCATACATCAAAATTAATCACCATTACCCTTTAGCCCACAGCATTCCCACTGTTACTTCTTCAGTATAGATTCACCTTTGGATCCTCCATTATTATGACTAGCTGTGGAACAAAGAACAAAGATTTTGGTGTTCAAGTTGATGAACCTAGATTGTACTACCTTCTGTGACTTTCAGCAAATCACTTAAAATGTACAGTTCCTTCATCTGTAAAATAGAAATCGAATATAGCTGCCTTACAGGTTTGATGTTAGGATAGCCTGAGGTAATTTATCTGAAGTCCTAGCACAAGTCTAGAACCTACTTAGGAAAATCTGTTATCTCAATTATTCCCATGGACTGTAGCCCACCAAGCTCCTCCATGCATAGGATTCTCCAGGTGAGAATTCTGGAGTGGGTTGCCATTTCCTTTTCCAGGAGATCTTCCCAACCCAGGGATTGAACCAGGGTCTCCTGCATTGAAGGTGGATTCTTTACCAGCTAAGCCACCAGGAAAGCCAATTATTATTTACATAGTTGCTCCTTTCATCCATCTCAGACTGCTGAGAATTACTGAAGAAAATCATGTGCATGCATGCCTAGTCACTAAGTCATTTTGGACTCAGACCCTGTGGACTGTAGCCCGCCAGGCTCCTCTGTCCATGTGATTTCCCAGGTAAGAGTACTGGAGAGGGTTGCCATTTCCTTCTTTAGGAGATCTTCCCTGCCCAGGGATTGAACCCTAGTCTCCTGCATTGGCAGGCAAGTTCTTTACCACTGAGCCACCAGGAAAGCTGGAGGAAAATCATACAACTTTTAAAATCCAGTGTTATGAAGGGTAGCTAGGCTTGCAATAATAATCCATTATTTTTAAAGCAGCTTCTTCTTCCCCTTTTAATTTCAGAGCAGTCTGAACCTTTACCGTTCTCCATAACTCATTTTATCTGTTTTCGTTCCGTTTAATCTCAGGTATGATTTTTGTTTTCAACCTTATGTACATAGTTGAGGTTGTCAGGTATATTTCTCTCATCTTTCTACCTTCTCACCAATAAGTTTATCTCACTATGACCGCTCTCATATTATTCCTTTGCTCCCAGTTTTAGGAAGTGAGTTGTCCTTCCCTTTTTTCAGTGTCAACACTCCACCTGCTCTTTTGATCACTCATTTCTCATATTATCTCATTCAGAAATTTGTTCTATTAGCAATGCCTCTTTTCTACTATATCCTAAATATCCATTTCTATCACCCTTTGACTTAATCTTTAAACAAAGTATGTATTTCTTATTTATAAAAGATGCTTACTCCTTGGAAGGAAAGTTTTGACCAACCTAGACAGCATATTAAAAAGCAGAGACATTACTTTGTCAACAAAGGTCCGTCTAGTCAAGGCTATGGTTTTTCCAGTGGTCGTGTATGGATGTGAGAGTTGGTCTATGTAGAAACCTGAGTGCCGAAAAATCGATGCCTTTGATTGAACTGTGGTGTTGGAGAAGATTCTTGAGAGTCCCTTGGACTGCAAGGAGATCCAACCAGTACATCCTAAAGGAGATCAGTCCTGCCTGGGTGTTCATTGGAAGGACTGATGCTGAAGCTGAAACTCCAATACTTTGGCCACCTGATGCGAAGAGCTGACTCATTTGAAAAGACCCTGATGCTTGGAAAGATTGAGGGCAGGAGGA